GGGAGAGGAAAGGCGAGATCCTGTCCTGGAGGAAGGAGGCAAGATAGCCGAGAGTAAGGGATGGAAGCAAAGGAGAACGGTATCAGAAATCATCCCGAGTAAAGTAAGGAAGAAAGGCACTGGAAGAGGACAAAGACAGGGGAAAAACGATGGAAGACAGCAGGCCTTCCAAGCCCATGGCAACAGGTCGGGGGAGAAAGAGGAGAGCAAAGCGAAAATGAAGGCAAGATGCTGGGGGCAAGGGAACCAAGGTAGCAAACAGATTTGAGTGCATTGGGGAGGCAGGTCCATCCCCAGGTGGGCTTAGGCACGGTAACCGTGCTGGACACTCAGAGGTCATGGAGACCAGTGCTGTCTGGGAGTGACTGAATTCAATCGGAAAGGAGATCAAAAGAAGATGGAGAGCCGGAAAGAGGTGAAGGCAAGGCAGAGTACGCTCCCCAGTGAGGAGAGAGGGAAAGAAGTGAAAGCAAAGCAGAGAGAAGGAGAGAGAAAGGGGTGGAAGCATACCTTGAAGGCACATCAGTGGTGTTTACAGAGGCCAGTAACAGCAAGGAGGTCCAGCCGGGGGTTTTTACGTGCAAGTTCCAGGACGTCCCTTGAAGTTAGAACCAGGGTTTGGAACCATCCGATAGATGAAGAAGCTGATGGATGAATTGGGTTGATTGGGAGAAAGCACCAGGACACAGATTAAAAACTCTCAGTGGGATAGAGTTTTATTTCACATAGGACAAGTTCCCTTCAGGGGAGGGAAAATGTCAGCCCATGGGCTGTGAGCTGGGGCCTTTATGGGGGGGGGACATCAGAGGGGTGCAGAAGGCGGGAAGATATATATTTTTAAAGATTAGGCAGGAGTGGGAGAAGCGGGACTGTTAAAACCTGCCCCCTTTTGAAATCAAATGGAAAGCCTGCTGTGCTGGCCAAACAGAAAAGTTCTCTTGACTTCAAAAAAGTCCACTTTTCTTGACTTCTCTTGATTTCAAAGACCAGGGTGCTTATCAACTCAGTTCCTCAGGGGCTTAAAAAAACCTGTGAGGCCCTGTTGGGGAGTGGGGCTGCTGTGGAGCTAAACCCTAACACACAGGAAATTGTTTTACCACATCTGAAATAAAATATGAGCTGGTACTGCATCTAAAGTAAGGGAAAAATAACATGTTGAGTGAGTACTCTGTTCAGTCCTTTTGAATCCAGCCTTTGGAGATGTGCCTTTCAGTAGGGAAGATATCAGCAGGGAAGATAAGATTCCAAGGACAGATGAAATTTCCACTCAAGTTCAGAGGAGGAACAATGTCTTTTTTTTTTTTTTTTTGGTCTTTTTTTGAGACAGGGTCTCCCTGTAGCCTAGCTGGCCTGGATTCGCTGTGGAGACCAGGCTGGCCTCAAACTCACAGAGATCCGCCTGCCTCTGCCTCTGCTGGGATTATAGGCATGTACCACCATGCCTGGCCACTTTCAATCTGGAAAGATCACATAAGGCTATATGGAGACTTAAGTTAGTTGGCCTTTGCCAGGAGTGCAAGTAAAGGGAAATTTGCTGGTTATTCAGTATTTGGATTTACTATAAGCTTTGGAACTAGACCGAAGTGGATTAAATTTTTATTTTTTCCCTTATTTTTAAGTTATTTGACCTTTCTAAACTTGGGTTACTTCATTTGTAAATACTACTTGGAGGGATAATGTGAAGATTTAATGAGATATTGTACTGTCAGTGCAAAAGCGTAACTCTCACCTCAAGGGATAAAAGATAGTTTATTCTGGAGTGAAATATGAGTTACCGTGGCCCAGGAACACAGATTTAGGTTACCCCAAATTCCATGTTCCAGTGTGAAAACAGTTTTATGAAATTTTTCTAGTAACAGAATAAAGAAAAGTCATAAATCAAGATACTTTTCAAATAATTGGTGGAAACATAAAGTAGACAGATACAGCAAAAGAGAAATCTTAGCTAAACCCTCAGATGCTCTGATGACACTCATCCTTTTGGTTGTTGGAAGTGTTTCTTTGCTTCTGTTAGTCACAATGTTAGGGCAGAAACAGAGATGGGCGAGGAGTGGCTATTTATGGTTAAAGATGGCTCTGTTTAATATGTGAATAAGCTGGGAATCTACAGCGTTCCCAACTCTTCACAGTCATTGATGTGCTAATCAGTTGGTCAGCCCTTGGAGAAGTTCAGTCCAAGATGCAAGATTTTTCTGGAACTCTTCTTCATTGTACCTAAGCCCTTATCCCAATATCTGATCTGCACCCAATACTTGATAAATGGTGCTTATAATTGTTACTAGGTCATGTCTTTTAAAAATCTCTTCTGAGATATACTAGTGTGTAACAGCAAGATATTGAACAAATGTGAATTTCAGAGCTGGTAGTCAGTAGTTTCTTGCTCCCCCCACCCACTTTTTAAGAGATTTTATTTTTTATTTTACTTATATGAGTTTTTTGCCTGCATATATGAAGGTGTACCATGTGCATCCCTGGTGCCCACAGAAGCCAGAGGGGGTGTGGATCCTCTGGAACTAGAATTAAGGATGGGTGTTAACCATCATGTGGGTGCTGGGTACTGAACCTGAGTCCTCTAGAAAGAACAGCAAGAGCTCTTAGCGGTGAGCCATTTTTGTAACCCTTCAGTAGTCCCCTTTATCTGTAGGGAATACATTCTAAGATACCTGAAACCATAGGTGGGATCAAACCCTCTATGTATTTTCTTATTCTACAGATACATAAATCTGTGATAAAGTGTAATTTGTAAATTATCACTTCAAGAGATTGCCAACAATAACTAATAAAATATAATACAAATTAAAATTATTTAAAACTACTGTGTTGTTTGGTTCCAGAATTTGCTATCAAATATCTTTGTACCATATTTGGTAGGAAACCCTAGGAAGAACACAATGGATAAAGTGGAGCTACTCTACCTTTTCTTATTCTATTTGAAAATAAACAGAATGTGTGTCAACGTTCTTCTGGTCAAAGTAGGTTATTTGTTAGCATAGGCCTGAACTATCTGCTTTTTCTTATGTAGGAATAGCATGGTGTCACCCTTTTTAAAATTACATATATCCATACACATAAAATGACTAGAACACTCTGCATTCAGATTCATAAAGTAGGACTGATAACATTGACCATATGAACACCTATATAAGATAATTATATAGCAAAATAAACACCATGAATATTGGTGTTTTCAGAGGAAGAAGGAAGTGTGTGCATTTAGTGGGATAATAGCCTGCAGCATTAGTATACCAAGATTACAATTACTTGAAAAAGCCTGATTCATATTAAGTTTTTAAGAGGGGGCCAGAACTTGGAGGACCCTTGTTCCCCCAGATATATTGGAACCGTCTCTCCTCCCGAAGTGTACTGATGAAACTCTCAGCTGGAACTCTGTCCCTGAACCGTGTCAGGTCCCACTCATGATTTTATTCAAAATGCTTTCTCCAGCTTTGGTTGGGGAAATAGAAGTTCGGCTCCACCTTTAGCCGACCATCCTGCCTTTTCATCCTTAGTTCTAGACTATCTCATTCACCCAAGGTCACAGGCTCTTCCCAGTCTTAATTGTGTGCAATGGAGATGGGTGTGCCTGCTTTCTCAGGCATACCCACATTCATTCATTAACTTTTTGGGGTAGGGTACCAAATTGAGGTTGCCAAGGAAACAAGATCTTGTGCCCAGGTCACAAGATAAGAACAAATGGTTTTGTGCTGGGGTTGATTAAAAGTCACTGGTCCAGATTATGTCCGATTATAAAAGTCATTCTTACAATAGCCCAAGGATATCTGAGTCCAGCATTGTGATGATAAATGAAGAAAACTGTTCAAGATAAAAAGTTTTATTAATTTTAGGAAAGAATCATTACCTCAAGGAAAGGGTGCTGTAGTGAGGAGGCTTCAAATCAGTGATTTTGAGATAAACAGACGGAAGAGGATTGGTACATGATGAATAAATATAAGACAAGCATTGTTGCCCATGCTGTGTACTGTGAAGTTTTTTATTTGTGATTGAAGCTGTAACTAATGGGGAGAGTTACAAGCAAAACCTGTAGTCTGAGAGATACACATTTAAAACTATATTGTCAGTGATTAGAAGATTTGAGCACTGATCTTTCATTGTTTTTGAATTCTTTATTGTTTTGGTTACTCAGTGTCAGAGCATGAATGCTCTTATTTTAGTACATTAATGAAATGTATAATAGATTTGCTAAGCAACCACAGCTAACAAAATATTAATGCCTGTCTTACAAAAGGGAATACCTTATGAACAAATACTGTTCTTTATGCTTTGAATTTATTATGTACATGAATATATAATGATAATTTCTGTCAGTGACTTATGCATTGGAATTATAAGTGCATGGGTTAGAAGTGGGAGATTGGGTAGAGAGAATATTTATAAAAAGCATTTAAGATGGTCAGGATGACAGAAAAGGGTACCTATGAGAGGTGATTTAGACTTCACAAGTATCTAATTAGAATTTTGAAGAAAAGTAGAGACAAGTACAGGCCAGGAAGAATAAAATATGGCTTTCTAATAATAGTGAGGAATAGTTTGAGTAAAATTTAGAACTAAAATATATAAGCATAGAAATAGTATATGGCTTTTTTAAAATTGGTTTTGTTTGAAAGAGATGCTGAGACTCCCCCTAAATCTCAGAGCAAATTTTAAAACATATTTTTATTTTATGTGTATGAGCGTATTGCCTGCATATATGTAGGTGCACCTATGTTGTGCAATGCCTGCAGAAGTCAGAAGAGGGCACTGGATCCCCTAGAACTGGAGTTACAAATGGTTGCTAGCTGCCATGTCGGTGCTGGGAATTGAACCCAGGTCCTCCACAAGAGCAGCCAATGTTTTCAATCACTGAACCATCTTTCCAGCTCCCCTAATTATAAATCTTTAACAGTTGCAAGTCTGCATAGTCTAGTAAAACATGCTTTGTTCAAAACATGTATAAAATCTGCCTCAAATAAACTTGTTTTTATTATCAAATGTTTCTGTAGATGCTATTCCACAATCGATGCAAGATTTGCTATGTATGAATAATGACTTTCCTCCAAGAGCACATTGCTTGGTAAGATGGTATGTATACTTTTTATTCAGATTTTTTTTTTTTTTTGTTTTGTTGTGTTTTGTTTTTTTTGTCTTTTTGAGACAGGGCCTCCCTGTCACCCCAGCTGGCCTGAAACTTACTGTGTAGACCATGCTGGCCATGAGATCTGCCTGCCTCTGCCTCCCAAATGCTGGGATTAAAGGCATGCGTCACCATGCCCTTCTTTATTCAGATGTTTTTTAGTGGATGTGTGACCAGACTGGCTCTAGATTTGTTATTTGTTAAGAGAAATTGAAAGATCCTGCATCTGATTGTACTTAAAGCAGTAGATACAAAGCAGTCAGCAAAGGGAACAGACAGTAAGTCAAAGCCAGTAGTAGATGGCAACCCTGTAATGGAGTTCTATAGGTTACACTTAGTTTTCTTAGTGACAAATTATGACATGTTATACATTGTCTATCAGAGAGGTTTCTTAAAGACTCATCCCTCAAAGCTTTAAATGAAGGTTTCATCAGATAGGCATCTTCTATATAGTATATACCAAAATTTCAGACTTGCAAAAGGACAGCATGTGTTTAGCTTAACCATATTGTTTGCATCAGTAGTTTAGATTCTTTATCAACCCAGGAATGATGAAAACCCTCTCCAAATCCAGATTCCAAGGTGCCAACCCAGAGCCAATCTGACACATTTCTAGGGACTGCAGTCACAGGCTTACTGTAAGCTCTTCTGCATACCATTGTTCATCATCAAGGGTGGTACCTACCTAAGATTCTAATAACCAGAAGAGAACAATGAAATAACATAGATTTAATATGTATTAGTGTAAGTTGAACTAAAATCATATGCTGAAGTCAAAACTTATAATGTCTTAAACTGTAACTGTGATATATTAATGTAAGAGGCACCTCACATTTAAAAGGTTTGTCTTTCTCAGTTATTCATCGTTCTCTGAATTTTATTTTGGAGAGGTGTATTAAAATGTTCCATCTAGAGTAGAGGATATAATTCAGTAGAGTGCTTGCTTAGCATACAGGAAGGTCAGGATTCAATTCCCAGCACCTCATAAACTGGTGGTGGTGTGTGCCTGTAATTCTACTGCTTCAGGGGTGGAAGCAGGAGAAAACCTATCTTTTAAAAAAAGGTCATAAATGTACCATCTAGGGCTAGGTGTGGTGGCCCATGTTTATAATTCCATTACTTGGGAGATTGAGGCAGTAAGATCATGTAACAGTACAAGTTCAAGACGAGCCTTGGCTATATAGTGAATTATTTTTGTTCTATTAGTGTGGTCTTTTGACCTTTTTTTTTTTAAATTAGAGAATTTATAAAGAAGGAAAAAACACCTATCTATGTTTCTTTTTTTAAATTTATTTTTATTACTTAGGGACTGTACTGTTTAACATAGCATAAAGTATTTTTAAGTATAGATAAGCTTCAGATGCTTTAGTACAGTCTTTTAAAATGAACATTTTTGGAAAAGGATTTAGCAAATACATTAAACTACCCATTAATTTAATCCTTTCAAATTATTTTCTGATCTTGTAAAATGTGAATACATGCGTTTAACATGATTGAATCTATCAGAAGGCAGCATAGTGTGATAGAGCATGGGCTGTGCATATATATGTGCATTGACAGTAATTAAACACCAGCTGTTCTATAAGATACTGAATGAGACAAACATGTTTTTCTTTTCCTTTTTAAAACTTATTTTTTATTAATTTCAAAGATGTAAATAAGGTATTTTGATCATATGTTCACCCTGTTCCTGCTGAACCTTTTCTTCCCAACACATTCCCTTACTATTTTCAGGTCTTCCCCACTGACTCACTGAGTTTAATTAGGGTTTTTTGCATGAGCATGGGTGGTTATCAGAACATAGGTAACTAGCCAGTGGCTACACCTCTGAAGTGACTTCCAGTAGACATTAACTGTCAGTAGGTCACTAGGGAGGGGCAAACATTTCATTCTTAGCTAAAGTACTTACTGTCTTTGCAACTTTGGGAAGTTACGTAATTTTTCTGAGACTGTTTATATTGTTGGGTTCTTATAAGGATTAAAAAAAAGATCATGGCACATATTGGGTTTGCCAAAATTGAATGCTGTTATATAACATCTGTTCTGATTTTCAATATGTATTTCTGAAAACTGTGATGCATAGTCTATGGCCAAAATATATATTGAATGAAAAATAAACTTTTTTATATTAGGTTATAGTAGAAAGATTGATTCTATATCTAAAAAATATGTAACTTCCTAATTCCACTTCCTCGTGTACAAGGGCACAGTTATGGATATTATCTGACAAATAGCATGCTATGAGAATAGTTTTCAGGCCTAACCTTCTTTATGTTTATTATGAGGATGAGGCATTCTTGGATATCACCTAGCCTAGATTCCTGCCAGGGACCACCTAGGCTGGTGTTCTGGTTTGTTTCTTCATTGCTGTGACAAAGTTCTCTGACCAATACCAACCTGGGGAGGAATGGGTTTCTTTGGCTTACATCTCCCAGGTCACAGTTCATCAGGGAGCCCAAGGTAGGAACTCAGGGCAGGAACCTGGAGGCAGGAGCTGAAGCAGGCCATGGAGGAATGCTGTTTACTGGCTTGCTCCTCTGGCCCCTGCTCAGCTTGCCTTTTTATACAACACAGGCCCACCTGCCCAGGGGGTGGCACCACCCACAGTGGGCTGGACCCTCCCATATCACTCAGTAGTCAAGAAGATGCCTCACAGACATGGCCACAGGCCCATCCTATGGAGGCAATTCCCCAGTTGAGGCTTCCTCAACCCAGGTGTGTCAAGTTGACATTAAAGCTATCCAGCACAGCTGGATACATCTCATTCTCAGTGTTAAAGAGTTCACATTATTCTTGCTAGGCTAAAACAGGTTTACATAAACAGACTGTACTTCCATCTTCTCAGTTCTCTAGTCACTGAGTCATACCCACAGTCTGCTATATTGCTGGAAATTACTTCTAGCTTTTTTTCCTTGATCTTTCCTAAAGATTAGAAAAATAAGCATTTGAGAATTATTTTAAAGTTGAGCATTTTCATTTAATAGACATTTTTAAACATTTATTGTTAGCAAGATGTGGCATACCAAGGGTAAAACATGTTTTCCACTTTAGTAAGGAAATAGGGAATGCAGCACTATGTGATACATGCTCATAGAATGCAACACAGAATTTGACGAAGGTACTATCCCCTTAATTCACACAGATGAAGTCAGGAAAATATCTCTTCAAAGGGTTGATAACTCACCCTAATCCTAAAAGACATGAGAATAAGCCAGGTTGTGATTTGTATATGAAATGTTCCCAATAACCATTAAACACTCCTTCTATAAACCTTGGTAAATCAGTATTGTTTCCCATCTGTATGAATTGACTCCTCTTGGTACTTCATAAAAGTGGAATATTTGGACCGGAGAAATGGCTCAGGGGGTAAGAACACTTGCTGCTCTTGTAAAGGACCAGGGTTCACTTCCCAGCACCCTCGTGGTGGCTCACAACTGTCTATACCTTCATTTCCAAGTGATGCAGTGCCCTCTCCTGGCCTCCACAGGCACCAGGCATGCACGTGGTACACATATAAACATGTGAGCAAAACACTTGTACACATTTAAAAACAAAATATTTATCCTTTTGTGATTGATTGGCTTATTTTACTATTATAATACCTTCAAGATTCATTGATATTCATCTGTCATCTGTTTTAAAAAGGATAAATGTTCCATTTTATGGTAATACCACATTTTGTATATTGGCTTAAGATGTTTATGGGTGTTTTGGTTGTTTCTATATTTGGCTGCTGTGACTAATGCTGCTGTGAACACAGAAGTATCTGCTTTCTGTTTTGGATTCTACCCAGACATGTAATTGCTAGGAGGAGGGATAGGGTTTTTTTGTTTTGTTTTGTTTTTTTTGTTTGTTTGTTTGTTTTGTGTGTGTGTGTGTGTGTGTGTGTGTGTGTGTGTGTGTGTCCCAACTGTCCTGGAACTGGTTATGTAAACCAGGCTGGCCTTAGTCTCACAGATATATGCCTGTCTCTGCCTCATGAGTGCTGGGATAAAGTCATGCACCACCACATCCGGCTATTTTTTATTTTATTCTTATTTTCATTTTTTAATAGCATACTAATGTGTATAAATTAGTGTCTCAAGATGGCTTTGATTCATGTGCCCTCTGGTTACTATTGATGTTCAATATTTTTTCATATAATTATTTGCCTTATGTGTGCCTTTGTGTGTGTGTGTGTGTGAGAGAGAGAGAGAGAGAGAGAGAGAGAGAGAGATGTTCAAACCCTTTGGTCATTTAAAATTCTAGTTGTTTACTTTGTTGTTGGTTTTTTATTTCTTTTAATTTTATTTTTTAATATTCTAATTATTTTTATTTTTTATGTGTATGAATGCTGTGTATGTAAGTGCACCCATGTTGTGCAGTGCCCATAGAGGTCAGAAAAGGGCATTGGATCCTCTGATACTGGAGTTACAGTTAGCTACCGTGTGGGTGCTGGGAACTGATCCTGGGTTCTCTGCAAGAACAACCAGTGCTCTTAACTGCTGAGCCATTCTTCCAACCCTCTTTTAATTTTGTTGACTTGATGAAGATATAATTCCAGGTCTCAGATAGACCCAGTGAAGAAAGTAAATCAGTAAGTTTTATTTACACTTAATAGAGCCTAATGATAGGAAAAGATGTTATAGTTCCAAGGAGAATGTACATTTAATGGAGGTGATCAGTCAATTTTTGAGATACCTCTTTAAAAGATTTGAATGTTTAATAATGGATGTGTGTGTAATTCCGGACAGAAAACAAAGCACAGAGGATAGAAGACATAATGCAGGAAAGTAAAAAGCCCTTACTTAGGTGGCCAACTTTTATCAGTATTAGAAATGCAGATACTCTTGTATTCAGGAACTTAAATTCCAGGAATTTTGTACAGATATATCAATAGAACTAGCCTGTTACTTTATATCAATACCAGCAACTTGAAGACAGTACTGACCAGTGGAGGTTAACCTATGAAAAGGGTGCAGAAAGTCATAGATAAACAATAGTATCTAGGAGTTGAGTAGTCGTGAACAGATGGAGTATTTCTGGAAGAGCCAAGAAACTTGTTTGTTTTCTTCTAAGAGTAACTCTCCTGTGGGTTCTTCCAGTTTTCTGCTGCTGTTTTCACATGATTAATCTTGATTTTAGGAATCAGCAGATGCAGGTGAGTTGACAAGTGAAATAAGTTTTACTCAACCATATTAGTCCATTTTTCGTTAATACAATGAAATGCCTGGGGCCACGTACTCAAAAAGAAGTTTATTTAGCTGGTGATTCTGGTGGTGGTGCATACATTTAATCCCAGCACTTGGGAAGTGGAGTCAGGCAGATCTCTGAGGTCTAGGCCAGCTGGGGCTACAGGGAGATCCTGTCTCAAACAAACAAACAAAAATTCCAAGTAGCATAGTGATGTGTAACCTACCACTAGGCAGCTCACACACTACCACAAAGGACCAGATTCCCAGAACATGAACGCTTGGGGAAACCTTCAGACTATATCAGAGCCATAGCAGCATCTAAGCAGTAAACAGAGTATGAGTTGAACTTCAAAGACAGTTTGTATTTACTGTGCTCCGGGGGATTTCTTGAGGAAAATGTTTGTTAAAATTATCATTTATAACTACATATCGAGAGAGTAAGACAGAATAGGCAAATGAGTATAATTTCTATATTTTCTCTATTTAAAAAATATTAAATAAAATGCACTTAAGAATAGCTAGGATGAACTTTCACTTAGGTAGGAACAGTCATCAACTTGGCTTTTTTTTTCTTTTTCTTTTTTTTTTTTGTCTTTCTGAGACAGGGTCACCCTGTAGCCCCGGCTGGCCTGGGCTTGCTATAGAGACCAGCCTGGCCTCAATCTCACAGAGATCCACCTGCTTCTGCCACTGCCACTCCCAGCTAAATTTTTTTTAAGGTAGTAAATTTGTTGTTTTAAATGACTTGGCAACTAAATGAAAAATGTCATTGTTATAGATGTAATAGCAAGAGTAATAACTTTGTGATTCCTGTCTAATATGTGTTCTTTTTAAAAAATATTTTTAAAAAACATGTTTGTGTGTCTGTGTATGTATACATGAGTGAATATCAAAAAGGACGTTGGATTCCCTGTAGCTGGAGTTACAGGATGTTGTGAGCTGTCCTATATGGGTCCTTGGACTCAAAATGGTTCCTCTGGAAGAGCAGTACACACTCTAAACCACCAAGTCATCTTTCCAGCCCCCAACTAATGTGTGTGCTTTTTTAAAGGAATATAAGAAATTCTTTAGAATGCTTCATGACATGTGTATCAGGGCTGGCAATTATTTCCTTGCCATTTAGGTAGTCTATCAACCTTGTTTTCCACATTATTACTGGATACATTACTATCAATTATTTAAGGCAAGAGTTCAGTGTTTACTTTTTTCTTTTGTTGTGAATTGAACTTTTATTTTGTGTATGTGTGTGCATGGGTTGGTGTACATGTGCCATAACATGCATGTGGAGGTAAGAGGACAACTGTGGAGCTGATTCTCTCCTTCTACCTTTATGTGGAGTTTGGGAATTGAATTTAGCTGGCTAGACTTGTACAGCAAGAACCTTTACTCCATGAACCATTTTGCTGGCCTTGTCAACTCACCTTTTAAGGAAAAAGTGTTATTTAATTGTAGCTGTGATTTCAGCAAGTGACTTCTGATTTGTGACAAATAGAGGGACTAAGGAAGATAGCAGTCCTTCTTGAAGAAAACTCAGGGCTAAGGTGTAGCTCAGTGGTAGAACAAGTTACCTAAGCAAGCATGAAACCCTGTGCTTGACTCCCAACCCTGCATGAAGAACAAGGAAATTTAAAAATTCAGGTGGGGGCCAGGCAAGATGACTCAACAGGTGAAAAATACTTGAAGCTCAAGCCTGACAACCTGAGTTCAATCCTTGGAACCCACATGAAGGTAGAAGGAGAAAGCTAACTTCTAAAACTTGTCATCTGACCTTGAGATGTACATTGTGGCACATGTGTAACTGTACTCACATACACACAATAGTAAAATTTAAAAAGATTTAGATTTCTATGGATTTAGCAGCCATGTGAAGTAAGAGTTGGGGAGGGTGAACAGTCTGGTGGTGCAAATTTGGCTTAAATTTCTATGGGGAAACCTTTTATATTTTTCAATAATGATTTCTTTACTAGGGTGATTCTCTCTTTAAGGTATGGCCTTCGTGAGTTTGTGGTGATTGCTCCTGCTGCACACGGTGATGCAGTTCTCAGTGAATCTAAGTGCAACCTCCTTCTTAGTTCTGTTTCTATTGCTTTGGGAAACACTGGCTGGTAGGTGCATATTTCCATACCTTGACAATAAGATAAAACCATTTTTAATGATAATTTATGAGAGTAAATTTTACCTTTTTTTAGCCAACTAAATGAAAAATGTCATTGTTATGGATACAATAGCAAGACTAATAATTTTGTGAAGACTTTAGTACCTATCATCTTTGCATATCATTATAGTAGAATTTGGAATGTGAGGATAAATTAAAGAGACATAATAAAATATTTGGGGGGATCATTTGTAAAGAAAACCTTATTGAAACAGTTTGTGTATATTTGAAATGAAGACTGAATTGTACTATTCTTGTGCTTTGCTTTCAGATTTTTACTATATTAAGCTGTACTACAAAATCTAATTTTAAGATTTATGTAGTATTAGACATTTTGGGTATAACTTTTCAAAGAACTATTTTTGAGTACTTTTGTGCTCTATTAAATGTACTATTTAAGAATATGAAATTAGCTTAATCATTATTATATTTTTAGTTTATTTCATTTGCATATCAAATAGATCAAGAAACTCTAAACATAAATTTATTAGCAAAAAGTACCTAAGTGACCTAAGGAATAGTTTTGACTGCTTTAAAAAAAAAAAAAATACAAGGCTATAGTAGTCACCAATGTAACAGTATTTGCATGGGAATGTATTTCTGTAGTCTATTTTTGTTATTCACAATAGTTTCATGTATGTGTGTTTCATGTATGTTTTTGTTTAAAGGTGCCTTATTTAATACGTATTACTGATTGACCAAGACTGAGCTCATAGCCTGAATGAAGCATATCTAATTCATGTATATTTGTTTGTAAGACATATCATAGCCTTCTTGCACTTAGGAACACTGCCTTCAGATCTGTGCTTAAGAGCCTGTTTGGAGAGCTACCTAAATCATGCAAAGGACACTAGTTTATAGTCTGAGGACTGAAACAAGGGAGATCATTACCTAATTGAATTCATCTGGGAATGTATACATTGGACACTTAGACTCTTGCTGCTCTGAGCCTCTGAAAATGACTCAGTGTGCTGTTAGTATTGATTTGGGGGTTATAGATACATTTTAGTGAGTACACTAATTTTCAGATAGAGAAATTTTATGACTAATGAGAATCAACTCTAACTTTAAATGATAAAAAAATATTTCACAGCCGGGCGTGGTGGCGCATGCCTTTAATCCCAGCACTCAGGAGGCAGAGGCAGAGGCAGGC